TAATTTTTTTCTGTTTTTTTAAAAGCATTTCGTTTTATTTTCGTTTTTCAGTTTTTTTTAAAGAAAAAATATTTTTATTTTTTTAAAAAACAGGTGTAGGCATATAAATTTTAAATTCATAAAAGAATTTGGACTTATATTTTAAATTCAAGATATATTGGTCCAAATAAATATATGGGCTAATATAAATTGAATAATTATATAAGTCCAATATAAATAGATTAAATAAATAAGTCTTAATCCATTGGGTTAGCCCATTTAATTGGGCTAAAGTGATTAGCCCACTTCATTAAGCCCAAGATGTCATCTTCCTAGAGGCCCAGTTTGATGTCACGTGTCAAATGACGTGGCGCGCCAAGTCAAACTGAAGAGCCAATAGGATCATGCCACGTGTCAAAATGACAAGGCATGTCCAGTCACACTAAAAGGCCAATGAAATCGCGCCACGTGTGCAAGTGACATGTTCTGGCCAATCAAATGCAGCCATGTCACACTTCAATTTGATTGGTCGAAAAGAGTTTGTTCTTATCACAACTCTTCCCTTCCACAACTATAAATAGGGGTCTTCATAACTCAGAAAAGACACCAGAAGTTATAACAAGAAGCAAGAGAGAGCTCGTGGATCAAACGCCGCAAATTTCTCTACAAGTTTCAAGCTTCAAGCAATCAAGTTCAAGCTCAAGAACGAAGAAGAAATCAAGTTCAAGTTCAAGAACGAAGAAGAAATCAAGTTTAAGTTCAAGAACGAAGAACAAATCAAGGTCAAGTCCAAGCAATCAAGCTCAAGCTCAAGAACAAGATCATCGCTCGTGGCAACAAACATAGATTCAAGATCAAGCTCAAAGGCCCTTGAATTTATTTACCATTAGAATCAGAGGATTCATAGAGATTGTAACACTCAAATATTCGAAATAAGATACTACGATTGTTGCGATATTTTATGTCTTGATTTTATTTTCTCGAACCAAATTTATTGTCTACAACAGGAAAAAAAATATTTTTCAAAAACAAAAATATTTTGTTGAAACTATTTTTTTTAGTTTTCAAAAAACGAAAATATTTTATTAAAAACATTTTTTTTCCTATTTTTACAAAAAAAAAATCAGTTTTTACAAACAAAATGCTTTAAAAAACTGAAAAAATGATTTTTTTTGTTTGTAAAAACTGGAAAAAAAAAAAGATGAAGAAGACGTTGCTAAATTAGTGGACTACTGGTGCATTAGTTTAAAAAATTTAAGTTTTACAAAAAGAATAATAATTACTTTTAATTCAGCATTGACCTAACGGTCAAAGGGCATAAGTGAACCAAAAAGGTGGATGGAGGGGTATTTTTAGCCCAATAGGTGGATGAAGGATATTTTTAAACTTTTTCCAATAGTTTAGGGGCATTTTGAACCATTTTCCGTTAATAAAAAGAAAGATTGATATCTTTCTCATCACCAATAAGTCAATGCACCCAATTTTTTCGATTCCAGTCTATCATGTATCATTCTTAAATATTGGTAAGACACATCAATTGACATCACCTTAGGATGGCATAGGTTAAAAGTGAAGGGCAAGGTTCAAGCAAGAAAAAGTTTACGGTGAATATCCAGACACCCAGAGACGAGGAAGAGCCTAGTAATCAAAATACTTTGGGAAATTAAAAATAAACATAGATTCTGAAATTCCCGAATAGAACAACCAGCACCCAGTACCTCTATACTGTCCAACATTAACAACAATTTTTCTGTGGTAACTCTTCACCTTCAAAAGCCATATCTTAATTTGGAATAGTTTTCCTCTCTTTTCAAGTCAAGTACGTCTTCCCAAAAAGGAAAAAGGAAGCAATGTAGTTGTAAGGTGATCACTAATTTGGATTGTTGAATACTTATCATTATAGTTATCCTTTTGAAAAAGAATAAATTCTAATTAGATTTCGCCTCTTCTTCCTAGTAAATCTGTGCTAAAAAAATGCAAAACAACTCAAGAAGAACACACAACTTGCCAGCAGCCAATTTGGATTTAACTTATATTTATTCAACTCAATTACGTGTCATTCTATAGTCAGCTTTGTTTGGATCAAAAGATATCACAACCTTTTTGAACAAATCAATCAATGAAAATGAAAGGGTAAATCATAGCAAAGAATAATAATCACTTAGAACGAAAGAAGATAGGCAATGAACACGCGAAAATTGTTTAATCTCATGAAGATCTGTGATTGGATGTTAGAAAATGCTTATCTGAAAGTATTACAATTGTTGCTATATCTTAGAGATGTTACTGAGAGAGAGAAAAAAGAAAAAGAAGCCCCCCTTTACAAAGTTATTCCCCCCATTATATAGAAGGGACGAACGCCTTCTGGGTCCTACAAAACAATTCCTGGGCCCCCTCCAAGGAACCTCCTTAGCACCTCGTATCGGAGTCATGTTAAGCTGTGAGGACCTCGCCGTTGGTCGTGCTCGTCTGTGATCGTGGTCGTGGTTATCCAAATTTGGACCCTTACAGTTAGTCCCTCCGCTGGTAGAGGTCGCAATTCGATGCGTCCTCGATAAGCGGACACCGTTTGCTCTTCGCGGAGAAATTTGGTTTCATGAAGTTCCACATCCTGGTCAACTGCGGGGGGTCAACGTGCTCAGCAAGGTATCGGCGCTGTGTCTCATCATGAAATGACGTCATCTGCCTTTTCGTCATCATTACGCGCGTTTTCGAGACTGTATCTAGCTGCCTATATTCGAAGCTTTTTGGCTTCTTTCTTATCTTGTGGGAGCGTTCCATCCTGCAAATATGTTACGAGACGGTTGCGCCAGTCCCAGGTTAGGTTTACAGAATGTACCTCGACTTGGTCTATGGCGGAATGTAGAAGGGTGACCACGTTTTCCTTGTTGATATTTTTGGTTGCGGCTGCTAGCTTGGCGAGGCCATCTGCTTCGATATTTTGTGCCCTGGGTATTTGGTCGAGGCGGCATTCATCGAATTCTGGCAGCAGTTTGTGAATTTCTGACTGGTACTTTTGTAGTCTTTGTTCTTTGATTTGGAAAGTCCCAGTGACTTGGTTCACTACGAGTTGAGAGTCGCAATGGAGGATGAGTCGTCGAGCACCATATTTGAGGGATAATTTCAATCCTGCAATCACAGCTTCATACTCGGCCTCGTTGTTAGTCATCTCGGGGCATCGTATGGCTTGGCGAATTACTTTGCTCGTAGGAACCTCGAGGACGAGTCCCAGTCCCGATCCTGATGCATTAGATGTGTCGTCGGTGTAGAGGACCCAGAGGTCGAAATGTGCGGAAGCGCGGAGCGCCTCCTGCTCTACTTCAGGCAGTATTTCCGCGCTGAAATCAGCAACGAAGTCGGCGAGTACCTGCGACTTAATGGCAGTTCGCGGTTGGTATGTTATGTCGTGCTCGCTTAATTCTATGGCTCATTTGGCCAATCTTCCCGATAATTCGGGTTTGTGTAGGATGCCCCTGAGGGGGAAGGTTGTCACCACTTTTATGGGATGACATTGAAAATATGGTCTAAGCTTTCGTGAAGCTACGACTAGTGCCAAAGCTAGTTTCTCAAGGTGTGGGTACCTTGTTTCGGCATCAATTAAGGTTTTGCTGATATAGTAAATCGGAGATTGCGTACCTTTGTTTTCGCGGATCAAGACTGCACTTACCGCGACTTCGGAGACTGCCAGGTATACTAGTAGGCATTCACCTGGGTCTGCCTTGACGAGTAGTGGTGGCGAGGATAGGTACGCTTTCAGCTTTCTCAGGGCGTCGACGCATTCTGCATTCCACTGCAATCCGTGCTCTTTTCTTAGCACATTGAAGAATTTATGGCATATGTCTCATGATCGTGAAATGAACCTCGATAGGGCGGCTATTCGTCCTATTAATTTCTGCACCTGCTTCTTGCTGGTCAACGTCTCCGGTAATCCTTCGATGGCTCTGATCTGATCCGGGTTGACCTCGATACCCCTTTGCGACACCAGAAAACCAAGGAATTTTCCCGAAGTTACACAGAAGGCGCATTTTTCGGGATTCAATTTCATCCCATATTGCCTCAGAATCTCGAAGGCTTCCTTCAGATGACCAATGTGATCCTCTTTCTTTTTTGATTTTACTAGCATGTCATCGATGTAGACTTCCGTGGTCTTACCGAGTTGTTCTTTGAACATTTTGGTGACTAATCTTTGATACGTCGCCCCTGCGTTCTTGAGTCCGAACGGCATTACTTTGTAGCAGTACGTTCCTCGTTGAGTGATGAAAGTGGTCTTTTCTTGGTCTTCTTCGGCCATTAGAATTTGGTTGTAACCAGAGTAGGCATCCAAGAAGCTTAGTAGTTCGTGTCCCGTCGTCACATCGATGAGCTGGTCGATGTGTGGTAGCGGAAATGAATCTTTAGGGCATGCTTTGTTCAGGTCGGTGAAGTCGACACACATCCGCCATTTCCCGTTTTTCTTTTTGACCATGACCACATTGGCGACCCATTGGGGATATTTCGACCCTCGGATGGAACCATTAGCGAGTAATTTATCAACCTCTTCGCTAATCGCCTCATTGATGGCGGCATTAAATTTTCTCCTCATTTGTCGCACCGGCGGGTACAGAGGATCGACATTCAGCTTGTGTGTGGCGATATCCCTCGGGATTCCTGGCATATCTGAATGGGAAAAGGAAAACAAATCGGCATTGTTAGTTAAGAACTCATGATATTTACCTGGTTCTGAGAGGTTGTGTCCGATGTAGGCCTTTATTGTGCCGTCGGTGTTGTCCAGTTGGATGGGGTCGAGGTCTTCTACGGTAGCCTTGCAGGCTTCTACAACATACGGGTCTTTGATGGCCTCTATTTGTACGTCGGGTTTGGTTCCCGACATGGCTGATTGCTATGCTTCTGCACTTGCCCCTTGAAGTTGTTTGGTGTGTGTGCAATCCTAGGCGATGCGGTAGTATTCTTGGGCGGTGCGTTGCTCGCCTCGGATGCTAAATATCCCCCATGGGGTAGGAAATTTGATTACTTGATAGAAACTAGACGGGACGGCTCGCATGGCATGTATCCACGGACGCCCTATGATAGCGTTGCAGGCTGTTTCTTGGTTCATGACGTGAAACGTCATTTCTAGGGTGACCCCTCCTGCCAGAACGGGCAACATTATTTCTCCCGAGGTCCATTCCACTGCATCGTTAAAACCCGTTAGTGTTATGCAACGAGGTATTATCTTATCCTCGAATCTCATCTGTGAGACGACTCTGGGATGGATAATACACGCGCCGCTCCCGTCGTCAACCATTATTCTTTTCACATCAGTATCAGCAATACGTAAGGTTATAATTAAAGCATCATAGTGAGGGAAAGACAAACCATTGGCATCCGACTTATCGAAGATGATACTATCTTCGAAGTCGTCATACCGTTCATGGGCGATTGTCTGCTTGAGTTTATGTATGGTGGTGAATTTCACATGGTTGATTGCTTCATCGTCGCCGCCTCCGATGATCATTTGTATGATACGGGCTGGCGAGGTTGGCTTCGGTGGTCCCTGATCGCGACCTCGAGCGAAGTTGGTTCGTCCTTGGTCGCTCAGTAGTTCTTTCATGTGCCCCTGGTTTAACATTCTTACTACTTCTTGCTGCAGACCTATGCAGTCTTCGGTTTTGTGTCCCCTTTCCTGGTGGAATTCACACAGAATGTTCGATCTCCGGGTGCTCGGGTCCGACCTCATCTTTTGCGACCACTGCACCTTTGTGCCAAGCTTTTCCAGTGCATATACTATTTCTGAAGGAGAAACGCAAAAGTTATGAGCGGAAAGCAATGGAGGCATACCTCTTTCGTTTTTGTGTGGCCCGGTATGTCGGGGCATGACATCTGCTTGTAGTGGTGGTGGTGGGATGGACGCCCGAATGTAAGGCTGATGCCTTTCTCGATTGAAAAGGGATAGTTGATCCCTCCGCCCGTCGTTACGGCGCTCCCTCCTTGCTTCGGTCTGGGTGGTCCATTCAAGTCTTCCTCATCCGCTCTTACTTCGGCACAATAGGCGTTATGGATTTCTTCCCATGTAGTGGGAGGGTATTTCATGATCCTGCTCAACAATTTTTTTGTTGCTTTCGACCCGCTTCTGTTTAACCCATTCTGGAAGGCTGCCACCGCCATTCCCTCCGAAACGTTGGATAGGCCCATTCTTACCCTGTTAAATCTGGCTAGGAAGTCTCGAAGTCCCTCGCCCATCATTTGTCTGACGGCGAAGATGTCATTTACTTTGGCTTCCGCCTTTTTTACTCCCGCGTGGGCGGTTACGAACTTATCTGCCATTTCTTCGAATGTTGATATTGACCTCGCTGGTAGTTGGGAGTACCATGTCAGCGCTCCCCCTGTCAGAGTTTCGCCGAATTTTTTCAACAGTACCGAGGGAACTTGTTCTTTCGACAGATCGTTGTCTTTTACCGCGGTGACATAGTGAATCAGGTGATCCTTCGGATCCGTGGTGCCATCGTATATTTTCAATGGCATTTTGAATGTTTTCGGGATAGTGGGGGGGGCTGCTCCTTTACTATACGGCTGCTCGACGAATCGGCCTGCATCGCGTTTCGGTAGCAACTTCGGAGCGCCCGGTATTTTATCGACTCTTTCCTGATGTTCTTTCATCTGATCACGGAGTGTTTTGTTCTCGTTCTCCATATCTTCCATTTTCTTTAGAATGGCCGCGATTGCATCATTATCTGCATCAACGACAATATGAGTGTTACCGGCGATTGGAGTTTACGGCTCATCGGCGACAGCTGCGGTTGCTGCGTGTATTGAGCCTCCGATATTCCTTCGAGTGGGTTTGTCCAGTATGCTGCTCAAGGTGTTTGTCAGCCATTCCTCTAATAGTCTATTCACAGCTGGTGGTTCTTCTCCTGCTGCGGACGTTGAGGTTTCCTTCTCGCGTGAGATAACCACGCTTTCATGAGGGGTGGACACGATATTTCCCTCGAGTATAACACTTGGCGTTACGCTTTCATCGTTTTCCCTGCCGGCTTCGTTGATGGAGCCTAGCAGGTTGTTCGTGACGTCTACTATCGCCTTCGATCTTGTCTCTCCCTTTCCTGCCATTGCTGAACTTTGCGAGGTTGAGAATAGGTGTTTACTTCTTTCGGTGATCTAGGCGAAACTAAAATCTTGGCTATAGAAATCCCCACAGACGGCGCCAAATTGTTTGGATCAAAAGATATCACAACCTTTTTGAACAAATCAATCAATGAAAATGAAAGGGTAAATCTTAGCAAAGAATAATAATCACTTAGAACGAAAGAAGATAGGCAATGAGCACACGAAAATTGTTTAATCTCATGAAGATCTGTGATTGGATGTTAGAAAATGCTTATCGGAAAGTATTACAATTGTTGCTATATTTTAGAGATGTTACTGAGAGAGAGAAAAGAAAAGAAGTCCTCCTTTACAAAGTTATTCCCCCCATTATATAGAAGGGACGAACCCCTTCTGGGTCCTACAAAACATATTCCTGGGCCCCCTCCAAGGAACCTCCTTAGCACCTCGTATCGGAGTCATGTTAAGTTGTGAGGACCTCGTCGTTGATCGTGCTCGTCTGTGGTCGTAGTCGTGGTTATCCAAATTTGGACCCATACAAGCTTTAGAACAATAACAATAATATCATACTACTATGAGAGAATTACATAAGATACCATATAGTCCAAAAATAAAGCAATTTATTCATGAGATGCACGCTAGCTGCTTCATGTGTGGGATGTAACTCAAATTCTTCTCGTTTTGTTTTCTTTTCTAGAATCAATTACTGATAATGATATTCACATGCCAAATTGTTGGGTAGATTCAAGTCAAATCAGATGCCTCGTAAATTTCTGTTTGACAAATTTTATTTAATTCCGACGATGGCTTCTTTGCTTGTACACTTCCACATTCAGCACATTCACATCCGTTAACAACGTAAAGTATAATTTGTTTTACTATTAGTTCACCTAAAATAATATAATTACTGACAATTGTTCATGGAGTAATAATACAATAGTAACTTAAAAATATATACAAAATAATTTGTTACAATACATTATAATTATAATATAAATTAAATCCATTTACACAAACAATGTTTTGCTGAGAACATGTAGACGTATAGACACGTGCAGTGGCGGATCCAGGATTTTAAAGTTATGGGTGCTCGTCGATAAAAACTTCAAAAGAAGAGGAAAAATGAATTTACTTGTAGGTGCTCACTCAATATTTATCTAAATATTTGTACAGTTGCCTATATAAATTTATTAATATGGTCAAAGTTAATGGGTGCTTAAGCACCCAGAGGAAAAGACTTCGGTAGTCCCTAAAATATGCTCATTGGAGTATTTTTGTCCCTTACCTATACCACTAAATATAAAATATCCCTTATCTTTATAAAAGTGGACAATTATGATCTAACCCTTAACAGTGTTTATAAAACTAACGGAAAAAGCTTCAAATAGTGTTAAAAATAGCGCTGTTAAATATTCTGTTAGTATCCCATCACTTCATGACCTTGTAAACTCAGACTGCACCATTGAAATCCTCTGCTTCCAATGCAAGATTATTCACCAACTTTGTAACCAAAAAAGATAAAAAATTACAGAATCAAATACCCTTTTCAAGGTTCAGGAACACACATTTGAATGTGTTTGTTATAAACATAAAAAAAGTTCTTTAGTTTCTTAATGAATGCATGAAGCTTCACACACACAGTTAGAGCAGAGTTTTCACTTTTCTACTGTTTCTCAATCTATGTGTACATAAACATTAGGAAAAAAATGCACTCTCCGTCTTTAAATTTCGAAGCTGGCTTTGTGCATATGTATATTAATGTACCCATATTTTTAGAAGAAAATAAAGGAATTAATCAGTGAATATACCTATATGGAGTTAGGTACAGTTCCTTAAGTTAGTATCAGCTAAAAAACTTATGCAGGAAATTATATTGTAATAGACCAATTCAAACTAAAATAATCAGATATGTGAGAGAGATTATATATTTTCCACCTCTTTTTTACCACAAGGTCATGAAGCAGAAGGTTTGAATTCTTAAAAAAAGCCTCAAAGCATAGAGCTACAAACTAGTACGGAACGATAGCTTCAAAAGCTTCAATTTCAATTACTTCGTTACGAGCAAATCACACGAATTGGTAACATATTGCAAGAAGATGCAGTAAACACTGCATCGCTTTAACGAACTCCTAGATGGTTATACAACATCGCTTATTTTTCGATTTTCCTTCCGCCGAACTTCGATTCTTTTGATTCCATGAACTTCGATTCTTTGATTTATTCTTCTAGGGCTCATAGTTTCTAAATTAGAGAGCGTCGAGTTGAATTTCTAAGAATTTTGGGAGAAAAGGGGTGGAGTTCGATTATGGATTTCAGGAGAAAGAAGGTCTGATGGGTAGGAGAGCGAGTGAATGAAGCAGAAAAATGAGAAATGGGAAACTAACAGAATATTTAACAGCATTAATTTTAACACTTTTTGAAGCTTTTTCCGTTAGTTTTATAAACCCTGTTAAGGGTTAGACCATAGCTGTCCACTTCTAAAAAAATAAGGGATATTTAATATTTAGTGGTATAAGGGACAAAAATACTCCTATAGGCATATTTTAGGGACTACCAATGTCTTTTCCCTTTAAGCACCCACAACTCCCCGTGGTAATGTAAAACCTATCTTATCATTGATTAACCTCTTTTCTTTTTTAACAGGTGAACCAGATAAATGATAATCATATTATTATTACGTAGTCATATATATCTACTTGTCCGAGAGGGACAAAGGAGGCAATTAGCTGATGTAACGCCACCAATTTAGAATGTTCACGACTTTTCGATTATGATTAACCTTTTAAAATCTAATAGGAATTTCTCCTCTTTTCCTTGTGTGCCAAAAATGTAAACTAACTTAAAAAATAACTTATCAGCAACCAATTTGGATTTGCATTCAACAAAATTACATATCATTGTAGAGTCAGCACCCTTATATCATACCGTTACTACAAATTAAATTAAATTACTATAATCCTTTTCCAGGTCGACTTGCACTTTTGTCCTCAAAAATGGTCCTAGATCAATAGCCAGTCATTAATCAAAATGTTCGATGCCAACCCATTTTTCCGTTCATGTACGTAGAGTTTGAGTCCAACACGGACCATATCAGTCATGAAGTAATTATTTATACTCGAGAGCTAGCTGTATCAATTGCAAGAAATAAAATTAAAAAATTAAACTAATAATTACTTACTAAGTATGTAAAGTTGTCACGGATTACGTATTACAACAAGTATCACCAGCCATATATATAAGAAGGTCCGCTACAATTGGAGTTGTATTACATTTTTTCCATTCTTCTATATTTCAAAATATCCAACTCTTCCTTCTTTCTCCGACGACGTCGACGCTTTTTTTTCTTTCTCGGCCGTCGGATTTTCAAGATTCAATTTTGTCAAAAAAACATAAATTGGATATATATAATTCCAGGTTCGTTTCTTATGTTTCCTGCTACCTTTTCTTCTCTTTTCTTATTTCATCTTTTTTGGGGGGCTGATTTGGAATTTTTTTTCAAATTTAAAATTAAGATGCATGGATGTTATTTCTTGTTGCTGCAGTTAGAATTCTTTCTTTTGTATTCTGTTTTGGCTATTAAAAACGAAAGATGGCTAGCATTAACAGAATTTTATGATTTATGCATGAAAAAAAAAAAAAACAGAATATTAAAATTTCTGTAAGGATTAACTGAATTTTTCTTCTTTTGTCTTCTGGGTCCTCCTTGTGCAAGAACATGAGCTGAGAAATATACTTATAATCATTATTATTATTTTTTGTCTTAATTTATTCTTGAGGTGGAAATGTTTTGTCTAAAAGTAGAAATAACCAATTTCGGGTGGCAACAAACGAAGAAGATTACTTGTCACAAATTAACCTGACATTTTGGTAATGAAAAGGTTCCTTGAGTTAAACCAATAAGCATATATCTGAGGTAAAGATGGTTTATACATGTTTCTTCTTCTAAATTCTAATTATACAAAATTAATTGGGGAGAGTTAATTAAAGCTTTGAGGGGCACAAACACGTTAATTACATGATATTTTTTTCAAGTTAATACACCCAGAAAACAAAAAGATAATGAGTTTCCCCAAAAAATTTAACTCAATTCGATGTTTGAGAAAACATGCATTGGACTCAAATTAATAAAATACTATGTATTTGGTATGATCGAGCGTTGTTATCACAAAAGGTTTAAACATTTCTTCATCAAAAGGAGAAATGATTCTCCTAATTTAGAGGGGAAGTGATTTTCCTCTTGACTTTTAATTTCATATTACTTATTCAATCTAACACTTGGACATTATTATTATTCTTTAAATTTAAAAGTTTCATCAAAAAGTAATTTCCAATTTTCTAAAATTATTTTTAATCTTTAGTAGTATACTTTATCTTTCCCAAAATAAAATTTAGTCTACTCAACCAAATTCCCAAGAACAAAATAACTTTCGTCGTACCAACTACACTTTTATCTCACACCCTTTATTTTTATTATTATTATTATTATACCATCAGACTGTCTCTGCCGAAACTTGGTTTAGAGTCTTATCATGAATTTGAAAAAAAAAAATGAAAAAAAAAAATAGAGGTTGGCGTGCATGGTCCTGTAGGAGTTGGGAGACAAACTCGTATGGTTATTATGGAGCCACACCTCCAATACTTTCTTTCAAATGATGATTTTGCATTTGGCTGCTCAATGGTTTTGGTGTTTGATTTTGCTTCTCTTCTGTATCATTGCCTTAATCCTACAGCTAATTTGTTTTATATGTTTCTATTGCTAACACTTGTATTTGTACTTTATTTGTCAAAGAATTAACAGCTGAAACGGGGGCGAATGTAGGGTTGATTAGCCGGGTTCAATTCAACCCATAACTTTCGACGCGGAGTAAAAATTTATTAAAATTTTAAAAATAATAGATATGAACCCTTAATTTTAACAATATAATGGGTTCAGTGTTAAAAACCTTGAAAATTGAACCCATATAATTTAAATCCTAAATCCACCTCTGAGCTGAAAGGTAAATTAGAAGTGCTCAAATTTAGTTTATTGATGGTGATTTATGCATGGAAACGGATTGATTAATTATATATGTGGAAATGTGTTTAAACCCAAAGCCCATGTCATGACAAGGAAATGTAGTTTCCTGGTTCTTTCCTATGCTTACATAAATAGATGACAAAAGTCAAAAGCCATAGGACTGTACTTTTCTAACTTCATTATTAATCTTTTATTTTTTTTGGCTTATTTATTTATAATATATACCATTGCACGAACTAACATTTTGTTTTTTGTTTCTGGTACTTGCAGGATTTCGTCCTATTTTGTATTTGAGCCGTTAGTTAGAGACATTCATACGTTATAAAATACTAAAACCAGTTTTGTGAAACTCAAAAATTAGGCATTTGCAACTAGAAAAGCAGAAGAGATCAGACAGCAATCTAATTCTACATTCATAAACATTCTTTAGCTACAAATTTTTGCAAAAGAAGAAAAAGAAAAGATGGGTTTCTGGACATTATTAGAGGTGGCATCCATGCCAATACTGCAGGTTCTTATAATAAGTGTATTAGGTGCTGTAATGGCTACTGATTATCTCAAGTTACTTCCTGCTGATGCCCGCAAGTCCCTTAACAAAGTAAGTTATCTTTCTACTTTTAAGAAGATATTTTTCGACGTTCATATTGTAAGAGTTTAACATTTATACACTGACAAAACGTAAAAGAAGGCTAGTAGGTAGTTGAGTGTTTCTCCTTTGTCTTACTCAGTACTTCGCTAGCATTAGTATGACATCCTGTTATTCATAGATTGCTATTACTACCTAGAGTTTAACTGCTTTTTAGGATTCGAGCGTATTTTATTTTGTTGTTATTCCTACTTGTTGTAATTACCTTTTCTTTTGTTATCCGTTCTTCAGCCGAGGGTCTATTAGAAACAACCTCTCTGCCCTCCAGGGTAGGTGTAAGGCTGCGTACATCTTACTCTCCCCAGACCCCACTTTTGAGAAATTACTAGGCTTCTTTTCGTTGTTGTTGTTAGTGTAAATAAGTTAGTTCGGTTTAAGTATAACTTTAAACAAATATATAGAAAATTATTGTAGTAGTAATAATATTAGTTTCTTTTTGACAAAAAGAAGAAAAAAAGATAGGAAATGCATTGTCTCCTACTGCATGATTGGATATATTTGTTTTTTTCTTTCCCATCTCCTAACTTGTTGGAATTTTATCAACGTTTTAACTTGAATTATTAATATTATAAAACGTATCGCTGCAGATAGTGTTCGTGACATTTACACCTTCTCTAACGTTCGCAAGTTTGGCAGAGAGTGTCACCTTTCAAGATATCATCTCATGGTACCACATTAATATAATATGCTTTTTCATAAACATTTTTTTGATAATTGTTTAATCAACCAACAGTTTTCAAGCTTTGACCATGGTCAACAAACCCTTAAAGAAAGAAACAAATTTACTCGCACTCGTAATTTATACCAAATCATATTAATTTATCACGATACACTAATCTTACTAATTATGGTCTCCACAGGTGGTTTATGCCTGTAAATGTTGGGCTAACTTTTCTATTTGGAGGGATTTTTGGATGGATAGCTGTGAAAATATTGAAACCAAAACCTCATTTAGAAGGTCTCATAATTGCTACTTGCTCCTCAGGTACTTCCCGACTAAGGGTATTCAGTAGATGTTATATACCTCTAAAACCTAATATTTTACCTATATATCAGTATAATTTTTTTGACGAAGGGTGTTTCTTTAAGACATGTAGCTTCACACCTCACCCCCACAAAACCCCTCCACATTGTAAAAGTTTCTAATATTATTTTGACAAACAGGAAACTTGGGAAATCTTCTATTGATTGTCATTCCTGCAATTTGCAAAGAAGATGGTAGTCCATTTGGTGATCATAGAGTTTGTGCTTCTGTTGGATTATCCTATGCCTCTTTTTCCATGGCAGTAAGTTTGTTATACCTTAGTTATATTTTAAGCGTTGAAATTATGTTCCATATATCAACGCCAAATTTTCTTGATTTTGTAGCTTGGTGGTTTCTACATATGGACATACACTTATCAGCTAATACGAAGTTCGTCCTTGAAATTTAAAGCACTAAAAGCAGCAGAGGAAGAAGCATTTAAGGAACCAAACAAGGATTTAGATACAAATGAAAAGTCTTACCTTCTTGATAATAATGCTCAAGATCATCTTCCTGTTAGTGTGACAAAATCCACTGAAAATCAAACAGTAAGCTACATATATATATATATATATACACCTTTGCTTGTCTACTCTCTAACAAGTCATAATAATTAGATGTCTAATCGAACGATGAATATAACTAGCAGAAAGCATGTAAAGAAGCAGAGATGGAGCCAAAGAAAGTATGGACATGGAGCAAAATAGTAGGGGTGTTACACACTTTCTTGGAAGAGCTAACTGCACCTCCAACTCTTGGAGCTGTAAGTTCTGCTTTATATATACTCTGTATTTCTGATTTTTGACTTGGGGTTTTCAGAAAGATGTAATTAAACACTATTCTTACTTAACTTTGGGTTTTTCCTTCTTCTTTTTTTGGGTAAATTCAGATTGTAGGATTTCTGTTTGGGTCTGTAACATGGCTGAAAAACCTGGTGATTGGGGATGCTGCTCCCCTTAGAGTTATTCAAGATTCTGTCAAATTACTTGGGTATGTACTATATTTCCCAACTCTTGTTATCAAATTGGATAAAATTAATACTATAATTTTTTCCTCCTATGATCTCATTCCACTCAAAATAAGATTGTAATTTTGTATTCAACCTCTTTCTTTCAAAACTGTTTTCCTCTTTTCTCAAGTCAAAATGACATATTGATTTTTTACCTTATCAGAGATGGAACCATTCCTTGCATTACCCTTATACTCGGAGGCAACCTCACCCAAGGTAAAAGATATCCTAATTTCTTATTCACTCAATGGTGTCAAAGTAAATGTGGTCACAAGCGAATCTAGGGCGGATCTATGGCTTCAATTGAACCTCTTACTTTAGGCTCAAGCTATGCACACAAAATTTCAAAAAAAAAATCACATTTTTGACTCTCAATTCTGAATTTGCCTATAGCTTAAATGATAATTGTCTCTCGTAGACCTTTTTTGCTTTGAGGTTTACTTAATTCTTTAACTTCAAAAAACTTTTAACTTTTGCTTTGCCAATTTGACAGGATTGAGAAAGGCACAAGTAAAACCATTGATCATAATAGCAGTACTGAGTGTAAGGTATATATTGAGTCCATTGATAGGGATTGGAATTGTTAAAGCAGCAGCCAATTTAGGATTCCTACCAGCAGATCCTCTTTACCATTTTGTGCTAATGCTTCAATACACCGTCCCTCCGGCCATGAATATCGGTACGTTTAAGATGTCATTACTACTTAATTTAACATAGAACAAACTAATTAAGCTGATGTTTATGGTTTTGTTTGACTTACTGATATTGTTCCAAAAATGCAGGAACAATGACACAATTATTTGATGTAGCACAAGAAGAATGTTCAGTACTATTCATGTGGACTTACTTAGTAGCAGCACTTGCACTCACCATTTGGTCCACTGTATTCATGTGGCTTTTGTCATGATATAGTCCTTTATCAAGACGACAATCATCTTGGACTCCTGTAGACACAACAAATATTTTGTGCTTTTTGAAAGTATCTTATAGAATATATATATATATATATATATATATATATATATAGGCATACAAATTTTAGATAGTGGAAGTAGCGATTTTTTTTTTTTTTTTTTGCGTTACAGTTCTTTGATTTAAATCAACGTCGTGCCTCAGTTGATTGCTAAATGTCGACAAGCTCTTCAATGCCAGCTCCATGAGAGAGCTTGTATGTTGTTTTACATTTATTTATGACAAATATATATCATTATGAGAGAACTTCTAAGATGCTGGAATGCAATTAACACTTTACTTTTAACATGCCCCTTCAAATTCAAGGTGGGAAAACCAAATTGAATTTGCTTATTTTTAAAAGCAATATAAAAAATAAATATTACCTGAAAACATGTTAGAAGTCACCTGAAAAGACTGGAAGTTTTCTTTTCAATTGATGATACAGTCAATTCATTTAGTTCAATTTTTCTTGAAATATTGTTGATCTTTTAATAAGATTTTATAAATTTAAAAACTTCTTCCAACTGAGGCAACTATTCAATTTATTCTATAATCAGTAGACATTTTTTAAAATAATCATGTCTTTATCTAATTGAGTAAATAAAATAGATTAATTTTAATCACAGTTTCTCCTAGAACTTTTAATTCTAATGCGGAATGTATCGCAGCCTGATTAGCTTGAAACGAGCCTATTAAGAACCTCGATTTCGTCTATAATTACCTCAAACAAATCACCAAAAATAGTAGTATCGTTAAATAAAAATTATATTGACATGTGATTGTTAACAAGCCGACAACAAATGGTTAAACAGATTTACTTATCATTAAAACACTCTAAAAAACATTTAAATTACATGTTTTTATATCTAGTAAAAATAATTTTGGGGCCTAAAGCAAGAGCTCTATTGGCCTAGGGGTGGAGCTGTTACCGCCACTTGGTAAAGTTTTGGGTCTCATACAAGGGTAAGTTGGAGTTTAGGCCGATTAGGATGAGGCTCAACAACCTCCATATGAATCCTCACTGTTCCAAGCACACCATAAGAGACACTCCCATCAACCTTTCGTATTCTCTGTTGTTTCTCATCGACTAACCATTCCCCTGCATTTTCGCCTTTTGATGTCAAGTAAACAGGCCCTTCAATACCATACCTGCAAAGGTTTTTTTTTAACACTAACATGAGTATCCAACAGCTAACGTGAATGAAGTCTGCAAGTTACAGCAGTATGGCAGATAAAACTGCACAAGGGGTACCGTACTTGGGCACAAAGACAATGAAGCCATTGGATCTTATTTTCACAATTCTCGCCTCGGTATCTGTCGGCCTGCACAAGCATGGACAAGTAGAAATGAGAATGAGATTATGGGAGGACACAAAGAGGGGAGAGGAACCAAGAAGAGGCTCTTTCATACCGCTTCCTGAAGAAAACGAGGGTATGGAGCTCTACTGATGCTCTGCTGGCCATCTGAGCATTCCTATGCCGATAATTTAGATCTGTTCCAGAACGGGAATGAGCAAACACAACCAAACAAAATGTGAAACTAGTGAATGGAGTCTGGTTTTTCCTATAAGGAAGACCTCTCCTTTTCCTCGTTTTTTTTCCTTCCACTAGTCATTATAAGTTTAAACCCTTTAATGTCCAAGGTTCAGCAATAGCACAAATACTAGAACGATGACACTGCACAAGTAGATCATTTACGTTGAACATTCGGGCTTTAACAAATGTACTCAAGTACTTCCAATAACCGATAATCCTCGACTGCCATGGCGCATGATTCGAAACTCGGTGGATAATGGCCCGCCCATCTACCCTTCTCCACCAGGCATCTGTTTGCAGCAGGGTTCCAGCCCGTGACGTGCACCTAACCCACACATCATGTGTTTCGCTCTTACCACTAGACTAAAGCCTTGGGGACCAAAAAGTACTCAAGTTATTGCTAAGTAAAAACTCAGACTAACAGACACATTCACAGTCCCAACTATTCACTCAGTGGAGGAAAAAACATAAACCATTAATACAAACTTCTATGATCTACCTCTGAACAGATTGCAACCAAAGGCCCATTTGATCAAGAACAAGCATACTAGAAAGGTAAGCTCATATTACTCCATCTACTAGAAGTCAAGTGCATTTGAAACGAATACCAAGCATAATGAAAAGCAGTACTTACTGTCCGAAATACTAGTTAGCTTGGGTCTATCTTGGAAAACACCAGGAAGCTTATATATTCCCAAAGATGCAGCAAGCAACCGATGAACGATTACATCTGCAAGGCAAGATAAAATAAGAGGCTCATGATTGATCACATCCATTGCACTTCGTCACTATAAATGGATGGTAACTTTTACTAACCAGCATATCTTCTAATGGGCGAGGTGAAATGAGTATAAAGTGGAGAGGCAAGACCATAATGAATATATTCCGGAGGACTAAGGTCTCCACTACAGAAGTAAACCGCCTGAAAATGAGTACCAAAAGCAACACTAACTCAGAAATTACCTGATATTTTCAAAAGTAGGGGATTTGTCAAATCAACCAAGAAGGAACCTGTGTCATGCATCTGGTTGCCAGAATCCGAATCAGCTTGTTGAAGTAAGGATCATCACCCTAAGGAGAAGATAGGAAGTTAGCATATGAACGACACAACAACACAATGGAACTAGACGTCCCTAAACTACTTTGAGTAGTGCAACATCATTCCTATTCAATGTTTCTTGGCTATTAAGTCCCCGATTTCTACTTTTTCAGCAAAAGCAGTCCTTCTGTTAATGTTGAGCCAAATTGACCTATGTAATTCTATACAATATAAATTAAGGGCATTTTAGTTAAGGACAAATGCAAATGTTCAACAAATAACAAACAAGCCAAAATAAGAATCAGGGAAGGTAATCATGTTTTTCTTGATATTTCCTTCTATTTATTTTTTTATATTCCCTTTTATTTTGAAGAAAAACCAATAGTTTTTCATCAAGTTACCTTCGTTTGTGAGCTAAACACATTATTTAAGTACCTTATGTTTGCCCAAAAAGTACAGTGAGCATCTTGCCTTACAAAAGATATGATACTGAATGTCTTAACAGTTAAAATTAGGATGCTAGATAGCGAGCCCGAGTCGAGCCTCAACCATTTAAGGTTAGGATCGAGACAGATTGAACCTAAAATTCCATGACTCGACGTCAGCTTGATTGGAGAATCTTAAGGCTTGACATTAAGCCGCAAAAGCTCGAACATCAAGAATTGATCTGCCACAAGCTCTATGCTCCAATTAAAGGAAGCCGAAATTGAAATAATTAATCCTAATAATTTCTAACCTGACAATTCATTTAAATCTGCAAACAAACTTTATTCTTCCAAGCCAACAAAACACGTCTTGCAAATAAGAAAATATGACATTCCACTTATTAAAATACATATTGGGGAGTTGGGAGAGCCAATGAAACTACAGTCATAGAAGATGAATGAAGTAGCGACATAGTGAATATTAATAGGTTTCATCATAAGGAGCCAAGAGCCCAAGACAGAGCTGACTATCGGCATCAAGATTCAAAAGAGAGGTTGAAGAGAAGCGAATAATAGGTATTGATTTTCTTCTGTTCGTTATAGAAGGGTAAGGATTGATTGTGGTGTCCTAATAGCGGGACACCAAACGAGAATTTGGTGTCTACGAGAAAACCAATTGTAAAGTTAGTTGTTCATTCCATCGTCAATCAATTGAATGGAGATGAGAGTAGTAAATAGTGAATCTTTTCCTCATGAGTGGTATTAATACAAAGTGAAAGGGAATGAGAGGCTGACAAAGAAATAGGTCGTGTGCGTGTACCCATTAAAGCAATTGGAAAAATTAGTTAAGGTTCTAGGAAGCTTGTCTGCAGGAAAATGGAAGGTTAGGGTTCCGGGGAGCTTGTATGAAGAGGGATGGAGCTCATTTCTTGTCTAGGTCAGCATGCCTAGAGCCAATCGGCTCGATGCTTGTTCAGCCCAGCTCAGCTAAGCTCAACAATGGACAAGCTGGGCCCAGCCAAAAATGAGTTGCCACATGCAGATTGTGAACGCATCTGTGATATTCAACTTGATTTATCACTAAACCTCTTTGGAAATATAGTGGTAGGAATAAACTTCATGCTTTAATTTTCAGATTTCACAATGCACATCAGGTTCAGTGACAGCCACAACTCACCACGGCCCGATCCAGAGAGTCAGCCAATGCTTTGGATGATGTCACATCCAAGCTAAGACCAACTGCTTCAGCTGTGCGGAGAAGAGGCTCAAGCATTTCTTTGGTTGGGCTAGGATGGCGTCTGCAAATAAAAATGCATCATGAAAACCTGGATGATTATCAAATTTAATTAAAGTGCAAAGGTTAAGCTTTAATAGCCATTTCATAGTGTCACAACTCTCTGGCATTAAAACGTAATCCAAATTTTTGCAGAATACTTGAAATTATGTCAAGTAAGAGAGATGATAGCAAATAAATTAACTAGAAAGTCGAGCTTCGCTTGACCATGCTATCTTGAAGTAAGTCTTAATATAACATGAACTCCAAAGTTTTCAGAACATTTATATTAATCCAGAGTTCTGGGCAGGAATCAAGAATCTCTGTCTCTAGTACTCCCATCTTTGGACAACTATGAATAGCCATCTGATGTGTAAGATGGCTAAATTTTCCCGTCTCATATCCACAACCTGCCATGTTGTATGATTCGCTTTCCACATCCTTCATGTGCTAAAAAAGAATGTAACTTCAAACTAAACAAACGGATATGTTCCTTCTAAGTAACAATAGCAGCATACCTTAGTAGAGAGCAGAGAGGAAAATGCTTCAGGATTTTTTCAGCAACTGCTACATTAGCAGCAAGCATAAACTCCTCAACCATTTGGTTTGCTTCACGAATCTGATACATTCCTATACATACAAATCAAAAATTAGCTTTACATGAATAACTCAAAACAGTAAAACAAAGGACAAAGTTATGTGCAATCACAGCAAAATAGCAGATCTCTTCCATGAAATTGTGGAAAGCACATAAA